TAAAGAAGAATTAGAAATTCGTCTGTTTTCATCTTTTTTTTGACGTTTTGCAGCTGTTTCAGGAGAATTAGCATTACCTATTTTTCTCTTTTTCAATCCTCCCTTTTTGAGTCCAGAGATGATGCAGAAGAATTAGAAATTCGTTTGTTTTCATGTTTAGATCGCTTCTTATTAAATTTTGAAAAATTTGTAACTAATGACTGATTTGTCACATTTTCTAATATTTGGTTTACATGCAGACATCGATGTTAATTCTTCTTCTTCACTTTCTTTCATGGAACTGATACTTTTATCCAAATTGCTGCTCACAATTTTATTATCAGTAAAAGACCTTTTTAATCTTCTCAATCCTTGTTTTCTTAATCCTTGTTCAAACCTGCGAAAACAGTACAAGAACGAAAGTATAATTTTTAATATAAAAATGTACAATCAGGTTTAAACTATACTAACTTGCTTCTGCCAATAATAAGACCTCATAGGATAACCAATGTTTTCTCGGTTCTGCATATTCTGCACACCATGTTGATAATTTTGCATAATCTTTTTCTTCTAGATATCTACAATATTTTCGATCATTTTCATCTTGATAAACCCACGTTTTTGGTACAACATCTACCAACAATTCGCCTTTTTCATTGGTGACATTAAAATTAACAATTAAGTGGGTTGTACTTTCTTTCAACTCCATTTTAATCTGAAAATAAAAAGCATAATAAATAAAATTTTATTATTAATGTACTAAATTTAAAATTCAATAATTAACTATAAAAATTCAGTTGAAAAAATTATAACGTACAACTTCTTCCATGAAGAAGAGTAACAGCAAATGATTTTTGCTGATAATTAAAAATTACACATTTTTTAAGTATTTCACTCAGTCCAATAACTTTTTTTTGCTTTGAAATTTCACCAAACTCCATTATGCCAATATCTCTGGATTTACATGGATTTTCAAAGACATCATTCAGTTTTTTATAATCATAGCCTATTACTAAAATATTTTTTTCTTGTTTTTTAATATTGGTGATTTTGAAGATTTTCATTTCTCGTGTCAAAACATGGTTATCCGGTTCATTATTTTTTAAAATGAAATGATGAAAAATTACTTGTGAAAGCTCTACTTCATTTTGATCTCGAAATTTGGAGTCAATGACAATTTCTTGCTTTTTCCGTAAAATAAATTTCTCTCTCGTTTCGGGACCAGATTTTAATTCTGACAATCTTGCATTTAATTGCTCCAATGGTTTTTTCCTCGATCTAATGAGAGACTTTAAATAACCCAAAAAATTTTCGAAACAGTACGCCGAATAATCAGGAAGAGGTCCCTCCATAAATTCTACATCGTCCGAAATGTGGAGAAGATTATTGTTATTCATAATTTGGGAATCTTTGCCGTAAAAAGAGGGAAGCAAGTAAAAATACTGGCGTAAAAGATCACGAGCGTAACTTGAATTTTTTGTGGCTAATTCACGATTGCACAAAATTCGAAATGCCACAACCAATAGCCGGTAATGTCGAAACGTGTTGAACGGCAAAATGTCACGCATGACAAATACACCGCTGTATAATAGAAAAAATCTGAATTGAGTCCCTTTCCAGTGACTAAATTCATCTAGATTTAAAGTTTTCCTTTGAAACTCTGATGGAATACCATTTGAAAAAAAATCAAAGCTTTTTTTAAACGTTTTACTTTATCTAAAGTAAGTCTAGCTTGTCGAAGTTTTTTCTTTTTCGTTGGTATCCATTGCTCTAGAAGCCACTTTTGCACTCCTAAATCTCTGAGGTGCAGTGATTCAAGTAGAACATTTTTGATTGGATCAACACTCGGCAAATCTAGAAGCGGTGATCTTCCCACATGATGTTGACTCTGAGACTGTTTTTTAAAAGAGGTTTTTGTCCTTAAAGATGCATTTTTCGAAGGGTAAACTCTTTTTTTATTTACCGTTTTTCTCTTTGTGACGCACCTTTCACATGCATAAAAGGCAGTATGTCCCTTTACGCATTTTATTAGCGATCGAGCTGGTATGTCACAAGAAAAACCTGCAATTTCAATCAAATAGTCTTTATTGTTTAATTCAATGCCAAATTCTAAAATTTCGTGACTTTCATCGATAAAGTCTTGCATGAATTCACGCACTGATAGTGGCTTTGAATCGCCACGAAAAACGGCAACAACAAATGGCCAAGATTCGTAATCACTATCCAATACTTTACCCAAAAAAGCCCAAAACTGCATTGAAGAATTTTTATAAATTGGAATTCCGTCCACATTAAATAATAGTTTAATTGTATTTTTATCATAATCCAGCGGAATTACAAATTTTAAATTCTCCTCTAATCCATAATAAATATACTGTCCCATCGTTCCTTTCAAACTTTCCATGCTGCGAATAACTTTTAAACAATTTCTTGTTTTTAATAAAGTCGACGCTGAAAGTGGAATATTATGACCCTCTTCTTTTAAAAGTTTTAATAATTCAGTTAGGCAGTTTCTGGTTATATTGCGAATGTTCTTGTTCGCCCAAATTTGTAGTTTTGTAGAAAATGTTTGTTGAATATCTTCCATATCACCAAATGATTCTTCAATATCAGATATTGTCACATTATGAAATACTTCATTTGACACAGCACTTTCATTTGATGACTCCTCTGATGGCGAGTTAAAGTCCTCATTATTAGGTATGAAAATCTGACTTTCGTCAAGAGGCTGCCCTGGTGGAGAACAAGGTGGAAGAGATGCTTCTTCAATTTGCATATTATTTGAATCATCTAGAAGTGTCACATTAGAATCGATGGCTTCCTCATCACTCGACGTAGAAACTACTTGTCTTTTTAAACATCGATGCTTTTTCAAGCGCTCGTAATCACTCATTGTCTAAATATTAGAAAATGAGTCAAAAAGTAAAAATTTACTTTTTACACGTGCCTGAAGTTCTGAACGTTCAAATGAACGAAAAGTTTTTTTACCACTATTTTAACTTCAAATTTCATTATTTAAAATATTAATTTCTGTAAGCAAAAATAAATTAATAATTTATTAAATTTTCAATGTACATTTTTATTTTTATTGATGTATTAATTTTTAAAAAATTTAACATCTAAAAAATTATTTCGTTCATTCGAACGTTCAGAACTTCAGGCACATTTTTTTCAGCTTGTAATAATATAAAATAATTAATCTAAACAGTTAAAATAAATCCAAAAAGTTGTTTTAAATAATATTTATTTTAATTTATATAAATAATATCGTAACATGTTTTCTGAAAAAAAAAATTTCAAAATTTATGCAATATGTAAAATAAAAATAGAAATTTTTCAAAATTAATTGTAATAATCATAACACTGTGCGTCAGTGAACAATAACTTCGAATCGAACTTATCCTAACTTCTTCATCAAAAGTAAAGTATATAGTAACCGAACTATTAAATATTTTATTATTATTATTTCTTTACAATTAATTACATTTGGGAATAATAACGTGTATTTTTGGCGTGCCCTTAGAGTATGATCTGGGTAGTAAAAAAGTGACGAGTTTTTACTCAAAAGTCAACTAAAATGTTGAAAAATGAAATACATCAATTTAGCACGTTTTTGTGATTTAGATAATAATTCTTAGGCACGCCAAACAGACACCCATTATTTTGAGATTAGAAATCCAAATAATATTACAAAGAAAAATGTACTTACACTTCACCTGAATATTTGCAATAATAACGAAACAGCTCTGAAGTCTGGGAATAATAGTAAATATCACTCATACATAGGTCTGCAGATAAAACGCATAAAATGTCTAAACATTAAAACGATTAAAACGAAACACGCATTTTCCTGAAATTTCTCGACGGAAGAGGAAGGCTTAAGATTATGTACAAGGCAACCTCTATTGCGATTGAGCAGCAACCATGGCTGCGCATGTACGTTGTTATTGGCGCGTTATTTCAAAATTATTTCTGTATTGCTATAGAATAAAAAATTTATATTTTTTAAATAAGCAAACAACAATGTCATATAATAAATTGATACTAACAATAATTGTTTATAATGGCCTTCACAATTATTTGGAAAAGAATTAGTAAAAAAATGTAGAATACCTACATAGAAATTGTAGAAATTTACTATTTAATAATTTTTATTATCAAGCATATTAAAATGTTATTCTTTTTTATTTTTCAAAATAAAATGGTGACTTTTCCTTATTTGCTGTAACAAATCATTTAAATCATTATTTTCGCCAAAAAAAATTTTTGATTTGAAATTAATTTATTATTTTGTATTTAAAATATCTTACGATTTTTTCTTTATAATGATTAATTTGTGTGCAAGTAATTTTGAAAACATTTATCAATATATTAATATCAGCACTGAGCCAGTACTTGATGACAGATCTGATAAAGCTTGTCTAAACATTGCGAGAACAAAAATTTTATACAGCGCCAGTCTTGTCTGACGAAGCTTGTCTGAACTATGGCTGAACAAATGGCTTAGTACTAGGCCAATCGTAAGTGCCGGTACTATACTGGCATTTCCCATTGGGTCTTACATTGAAATAACAATTTTTACTAGAATCTATACTTGGTCAATCAAGTAGACTTTGGCTCAATATGAGCTTTCGATATAAATGTTCTCATCATGAGAACGGGAAAAAAGTTTGTGCCTCATGTGGTAAAAAAATAACAAATTAGGTTTGAATCAATTATTCATACATGGATAACAAATTGTGTTTGGATCAGTTATCACCGTATACATGGGGTAGAATTCCTGTAGCGTACTAAGTGAAAAAACTTGATCGGATTGGGCTAGTGCAACTTGCACATAGTATTATATATATGTTTTTATATAGTATAACAATATATATATTTAACATAGCAAACAATTTAATAGAAACATTTTCTTATATAATTTCGATGTCGATATTAAATTTTAGTTTATGAAAACATAAAAGTATATTAATAGTAAGAATGAAAGATTAGAATAATAATAAATAATGCACATACTTTTACAAAGATTTTTAGATTAATAATAAATAATCCACCTACATACTTTTACAAAGATTTTCGAAAATAGAAACTATGATTTATCGTAGTTAAAACATTAGAATAATAATAAGTGATTCATAACTTTTAAAAGATTTTGAAAATAAAAACATTACAAACTATGATTCGTCATCCGCCTCTTCTTGACTGTCCTCGTAATTTTCAGAACCATCACTTTCATCACTGCTTGATTTTATATTGTTTTTTTCAATAGTTTCTAATTTTTCCAATTCTTTTCTCAATTCGTTTTCGTCCAAATTGTTTTCATTCAACAAATATTTTTTCGAGTTACGATATCGCTGTTTTGTATTTCGCAAAACCTCCAACATATGCGTCTTAAATGTATTTTTGTCCTTTGGACCTTCGAAATTCGAACATTTTTGTGCAGCCGCTAAAACAATTTATAAAATCTTAACATACAATATTTAATAAATATTAACAATAACAATTTTTTATCTGAATTCTTTTAAAAAAGAACAAAATAAACAATATTAGGGACGAAAATCGAGGCGCATGAATATTTCTTAAATTAATTAAATGAATTTAATTAAATGACCATTCGGCTAAATGGTATTTCCTAAATGAGATTCAGGGAATATTCATGTGTCCCAGAACAACGTACGAAAGAAACAACAATATTAAATAAAAAAAAGTGTAAGTAAAGATAATAAAATTGTTAGATGAACTTTTAGTTTGCAGTATACACATTTCATTAAAAAAATTATAACTATACTTACAATATAAAACATTTGCAACTTTAGTGTTGCCAAATTCAACAGACTCTGCTCCCCCAGGCCAAGTGAATTGACAAACTAATTTGTCTGTCATAACCTGTCTCAACGATGCAGATAAAAAATGTCTTATGGACACACCTCCAAGACTTAGCAAGTAATTGCGCTGTAAAAAAATTAAAAATATATTTGTGTTAGATTTTATAATGAAAAAGACCCACTTTGGCGCTATTGGACTTATCCACGTGAACATATTCTTGAGTAAATTTCGAAAATTTTGAGAGGTTTTATACCCTTCTAGAAAATTGCGATTATCTATTTAAAAATATTGACAAAATGGACCCTTTTCATGCAGATGTACACATATATGTTTTTTAACAACCATAAAAAGTTTTATTATAACATTTTTCAATTTAATTTGTCCAAATTTTATATTCAGTAATATATGCAAATTGTTCTTTAAAGAGAAAGAATGTTTTTTTAAAGAAACTGAAGACAAAAACTAGAGAACTTTAGTACAATAAAAGAAAATCAGAAGATTAAAAAATAAGAAACCCAAGAAAGTGAAAAAACCAATAATTTTAGACATCGAATGTATACAATTAAAAAAAGTTTAACATTTACAGAATGTGAAAAATCAAAAACTTGACGATTTGTCTACTCAGACAAAAAATACAACTATTTGACTTTTCCGTATTTTTAGTACAAATACAAAATAACTTAAAAATTTTACTTACGAGTTTTGTGCGCTCTGCTTTATCTCCCGATTCTAGAGTCATAAACTCTGCTACGGTTTGTAACGGAAAGCCGTCGGGAGGTCGAAATAGTTTATGCGAAAGTTCTTTATCTTCCGATTTTTTCTGTTTTGATAATTCCAGGAGAATATTTTCTTGTTGTTCGGAAATTTTTTCATTTTGCCTTATAAGAGTCTTGTTCTGCTCCTTTAATGTGCTGAAAGCAAAAATCGTAATTTATTAAATAAAAAAAAACTTCACTATTTTATTTCAATTGAAAATTAAAATCTGGAAACTGAGAATTCATAAAAAATTAATAGTAAAAAGAAAACGAACATTTAGAAGAAAAGTAAGAGTTGATTTTAATATTTGTTATATGTACTTAACATTATGCAAAGATAAAATAATTACTTCAAATCTGTGAGTACGCTTTTTCTAAACAATGCATCCGTGTGAGCAGCCGGAAACCCAGTTAAATTGTCAAACATTACTTCTCCTCCTAAAGGAGTAGATGGATTATGTTTATTGAATACTGTAACATCTCTGCAAAAAAGAAAGAACAATGAAAAATGTTTATAACTAAATTTTATCATATTTAATTATTGAAAATAAAGAACAGGTTCTTGTTTGTGTAGATGAAAGTGGGACAAAACCGGGTACAATTACTTTTCTTTTTTAAAAAGCGTAGTATAAATAGTTTAAATATTATTTTGTATAATTATTCTCTGACGACATATTATGCAAACTGATTTAACACCATAACCTCAACCCCACCTACCCAGTTTTGTGTCACTCTCCCCTAAATACATGTATAACTTACTCCAAATCTTCAGAAAGTTCTGCAGGTGAATGTAATATATTTGACCTCTCTAATAGTAAAGATTCATATATCATATATCAATTCATATATCAATATATTAATGTAAATTTAATATTATTGTTTACAATTTAATTATTTTTCATTACTTAAAATATGTCAATAGTGTAGTTTGCAACTTTAGATTTGTAAACTACTTACTGTAAACTTCCATTCATTCTCCAGCTGATGCTGATCTTTCTGATCGTCTTGCTGTTAAGTCTGTGTTTCCAGACTTTACCAATTTATAAGCAGTGAAAATGTCCGGCTTTGTTCTAAAAAGTAATAGTACAACAGTACACGGAGAGAAAAAACGGGGCTTAATAGCACGGTAGTAGTTTGTGAGTTTATCGCATTGGCGCTTCTCTTACCCGTCGAGCATGAATTCATACCGGGTCTGCGTGAGCAATCTCTGTACTATGAAGCCGTGGTAGTAGTACTTTGACAGTTCGAACCGCGTACTATGTAAGTAGCGGCGCCACGCGGATGCCGCAAGAATCAGCAACGTGCTACGTTTGCACGAGTTTCCTCCTATTTCGGTAAGAGAACCTTGCAAATGAGCAGGGGTGCTATTCTTCAAGTATTTTTTATATACGAATGCATGTATTTTTGTATTACTTCGTATATGAAAAATGTTTCATTAATATCACCCCTGTGATACGTTGTTCAAACACTTATCGATTATTTAATAAATTTTTTAATAAAAATTCTTTGCAAAATTTTTTCATTATTAGAAATTAACAGAATATTCTTTTTAATAACCAGAGAACGTATTGAAGAAAAATTTGTTTTTGAATTTTATAAAAATTTAATTAAGTACCGTTAAAAAATTAATTTCAACTACTTGAAATATCAAAAATTCTAATCAAATATATAAATTTTTCTCATAAATATTCATATAATTATTTTCATGCATTCAAATATTTTCAAAACATTTGGATTAAAAATCTTCTATAACTAATTTATATTGACAAAAAATTTAACTTTAAATGTTTAAAAAATGTTTAATTAAAAATTCTCTGAAATTCAATTATTGTTAAAAATTTGTAAAATTATTTTCACTGTTTACTGACATTAAAAATGAAAAGTTATATAAAATTATTTATTAAAAAATATATTTTTCAATGTATTGGTCAATATATTTTTTTCTCCATTACGACTATATTTATTAAAATATTATGGTCTACAAAAGTATTAAAATTATTAAATTTAATTTATATTAATTTAAATTATTAAATTTTGAAAATATAAAAATATAAATTGCATTTAAAAAAAATTTTAAATGTAGGAAATGATTAACAATTACAAATTAATTTTGAATTAATACTTACCATAAAAACATCCAAACGTATAAAATTCTATAAATTGTAAGTCACAAACATTCAAAAAACGGATCACTGCTCATTTGCAAGGTTCTCTTACCGAAATAGGAGGAAACTCGTGCAAACGTAGCACGTTGCTGATTCTTGCGGCCTCCGCGTGGCGCCGCTACTTACATAGTACGCGGTTCGAACTGACAAGGTACTACTACCACGGCTTCATAGTACAGAGATTGCTCACGCAGATCCGGTATGAATTCATGCTCGACGGGTAAGTGAAGCGCCAATGCGATAAACTCACAAACTACTACCGTGCTATTAAGCCCCGTTTTTTCTCTCCGTGTAGTAAAACTTATAACTGCATTTAAAGCTTTTATTATTATAAACAACTTAGGGTACGGTCACACGACTTTTGGAAAAACCATTCATGTCTTTCTCTCTCCTAAGACAGAGGCATAAGATTGTCTCACTCTGCATTTTCCGTCTTTGGGAAATGTAAGAAAATGCAGAGTGAGACAATCTTATGCCTCTGTCTTAGGAGAGAGAAAGACATGAATGGTTTTTCCAAAAGTCGTGTGACCGTACCTTTACTGTGAACTTTCCTTCAGTTCTTCTGCTGATTTTGATCTTTTTGACCTTTTTTCCTTTAACGCAAATTTTCCTGACTTTTCTGCATTTGAAAGAGTGACAGTGACCGGCTTTGTTCTAAACAATAATAATACACTAGTAAAATTTATAACTACTTTTATAACTTTTATAATACATATAATATAATTCGTACTTTGAACTATCCTTTGTCCCTCCAGATGATGTTGATGTCCCTGGCTTTGGCGATTGAGAATTACCTGTAGTTACTAAGCTTACCCTAGAAAAAATAATTATATAACTGTTTCTATTTAATGTAGTTAAAAGAAAACATTTCAAATTAAACTTGACATGAGGGGAAAAACAGAAATAAAAATACATTTTTTAACTACAAATTTGCTTCGTAAGTTATAAAACCCTATAAATTGTAATAACATAAAAATGTATAGTTGGAAAATATAAAATTATTTGTGTAACTTTTATCTGAGTTGCTCTGCAATGTACTGCCCCGCGAGGCAGGGTGCGCAGAATTATATAAAAATAATATTATTATTAAGAGTTTTAACGTACGAACTGTCACTTGCGGTTCCATAAGTAGCGTTGGACTTTATATTTAAAGTATTCTCTTTAGATTTCTCGAGTCGTTGTCTTTCAATTTCTGCTAGCTTATTTCTCAAAAGTTCTATTTTCAATGTTGTTGCTTCTGCAGTTTTTGATTTCTTAGGGGGAGCCTCGTCATCGCTTGTAGTTATAACTTTTTCAGGTCGTATAATGCTTCTACCACTTCGAGAAATTTTTGGTGGATGTTTATCTGTCTTCCTTTTCATTTCTTTTTTTTAATTATTATGATATTTATCTGTAAACGAAGAACAAATTCTATAATGTACTGAAATAAACAATAATTTATAAATCTAATAACTCAAGTTTACCTGCCTTAATAGTATATTATGTGGCAAGCACGTAAAGTAGTACTTTTTAGGTGAAGATGTAATTTTCAGTACGAGCTGTCTTTAGTGCGACGTAGGTGAGACGAAGGTGAGCTGTAGGTGAGATGAGGACGAGCCGAAGGCGAGTCGAGTCGAGCCCAGTGTGAGCAGGCCGCAGATAGACTTGACCCCCACCATGTTTCCATCCGCACACTAACACATGCATATACATTCCCTGTATATGAGCCTCTTTTTTATATTATTACCTTTTACACCCTATTTATAAATAAGGTGTAAAAGGTAATTTTTTTAAATTTGTGTAGATTAAATTATAAAAGAAGTAAGTAGTCTGAAATATAGTTAACAATATATAATTATTTAATTAATAATTGTGTTAATTAAAAATTATCATAAAAAAGAAATTATTAATTAAATAATAATTATTATTAATTTAATAATTGTTTAATTAATTGATTTATTATTAATTATTATACAAATTATTTCATCCCTGTTTTAAAAATAAATAATGATAAACAATAATTCAATGTATGATTATAATAATTTGTAGAAGATAATTTTCAAGTTAAATAATAAATTAGAATTTAATAAAAAAAACATCATTAAATATCAAAATTAAATTTTTTTTTATTATAATTAAAGAGATGAAATAAAATTAAATAATTATTATACATATATTCCTTTAATTGAAAGTATTAATTTTAAATTTTATTTTTTCTCTTTAAGTATATTTTACAAAATAAAGTAAAAAATTATTTGAATTTTATTTAAAAGATTCATTAAAATCTAATTTATTATTTAACCTGAAAATTAATTTCAATAAATTATTATAATCATACAGGAATTATTGTTTATTACATTTGAAAATTAATAATAAAAACATTTTTGAATAAATAATTAATTTTTTACTTAATATATTTATTGTGAATTACTAAAGAATATTTCTACATTTTAAATTTCCCGCGCCAAAAAGCAATCGACCGCCGGTAAATGCATGCATAGTATCTAGCGAATAGAGGAAAATGAAAAAGAGGCTCAAATACAGGGAATGTATATGCATGTGTTAGTGTGCGGATGGAAACATGGTGGGGGTCAAGTCTATCTGCGGCCTGGTCACACTGGTCGAGCCGAAAGCGAGCCAAGTCGAACCCAAGTCGCACAGACAGCGAGTATTGAAATCATCCGAACCTAAAAATTACTACGTGCGAGCCACATACGCTATTTTTTTCGCCATTGTTATGAAAAAGTGAAACAATTTTAAAGAAATATATATAACATATTATATATATTATGTATTATTACAAAAATTATGCAAAAATTAACAACTGCCTAAAAAAGACTTTATAGGGCAGTTTACTGCCTAAAAAAGACTTTATAAGGCAGTTTACTGCCTAAAAAAGACTTTATAGGGCAGTTTTCTGCCTAAAAAAGTCTTTTTTAGGCAGTTGGCCAAAACTGCCTTAAAAAGTGCTACTTTATCTGCCCAAAACAGGCACAAACAAGGAGGGGGTCCTTTATGTTTATTTCATAAACATTATGCTTCCTCATTGTGTGAAGCAAAAAATTCGCTTCCTCGTGAAGGAAGCAATGAATTTGTCCAATTCAATTGATTGATTTAAAAAATTTCGTGTTAAAAATGTTTTAAATTAATTAAATTTTTTCAAAAATAAAGAAAATTTTAATTAATTTTGAGTGTAACATAAAGTTTATATATACGAATCGATTCGTTTTAATGCAAGGAATACAATTATTTTATTCATCAACTTGTATTTAAAAAAAACACAAAATTTTTTAGCTAAAATATGAATTTTCGATTTTTCAATTTTTATTAATTCTCAAATTTTAAATCAAATCTATACTTTATATATACCAACCAATTCGTTTTAATGCAGGGAATAAAATTATTTCATATATAAACATGAATTTAAATAAACACATCATTTTTTAGCTAAAATGAGAATTTTTGATTTTTTAACTTTCTTTAATTCTTTAAATTTCAATCAAATCTATACTTTATATATATCAATCGATTCATCTTGACATAAAGAAGACGATTATATTATATATTACCTTAAATTTTTCGAGTTAAAAATTTTTTCAATTAAAAAAAAAATTTTGGAAAAAAGACGATAAAATTTTTTTTTTGGGGTATTTTTAAAAATCCTCTCGTCATTTTTGAGAGATTAATGTGTTAAATAAGCCTACCAAATTTTACCCAAATCCATTAAAACCTGTTAAAGATATCGTGTTCACAAAAACGATCCACACACACATACACACACACACACATACACACACACATACATACATCCGGACAATTGATCAGGATCTCATATAACATGTTTCTATATAGAGGAAAATTTGTTTTCACCATTTCTAAAAAGTTTATAAACGAAAGGACTACATAGCTTCCTCCACGAGGAAGCAAAAAGACACTTTTTTATGTCAATGGCGAAAAAACATACATTCAACTTTTTAAATAACACATTAATTATAAGCAAAGTTCTAAAAGAAAAATTTATTTAAGTTTTTATATTCATTTAAAATATTTTTACATAATAATTAATAATAAGTTCAAATTCACAGATACATTTCAAGTGTTTCATTAAAAAAATATTGTCCCAATGGGCAACAAACGCCTTTGACCCAACAACGTTTCTAAATCGTTTTTATGACGTACATATCTGCTAAAATAATATTCTAAGAACGTTTCATGTTTTGATAAAAATGTTTTTAGAAAATTAAACATTTGTACATATAATGTTATTTGACATTAACGTCCTAAAAACGTTATAAAAACATTTTATGCTACCACCTTTATTTTTAAAGTAAAAAAAGTATCAGACACCGTATTTCATGTTTTTCATGCTTCTTCAAAAGTAGTCAATTTTAGTAACTCACATTAATTTATATATGTGTTTCTTCTTCTTTCTTACTTTCTAAAGCTTCATTTAATATTTTACAAAATATTTTCGTGAAGCAAAAATGGTGACAGTAGCGAAACACTTGTCCATTCGTCAGGAATAATACGTTCTTCTTCTCCTTCGACATTGCTCCATATTGGCATAATATAACTCTTAGATTTGATATCTGTTAATGAAATTACTCCTAGGGTTGGTTCCAAATTTTGACACTTGTAAACGTTTACAGCAGACGATTTTATTCCTACATCGTAAACTTCAGCCGTATTTCGAAAATACTGAACAACCAAGTTGATTTCACCTCCTGTTTGTATGATATTTTTTATAATACATATCTTCGAATTTTTTAGATGACAGCAACTGTCACGAAGTGTAGTAGACAATGTGTACTTGCCAACTTCAATTTTTTTATATTGTACACAAAGATTTTCAGTAATATGTTCTGGTAGAGGTCCATCGGCGTGGTTTTTTGACAATTTAATTGCAACATTTGGTACAACAGGCGCTAACGCATAATCATCTCTTTCAGCGATTCTTTTATATATTTGAGCAAGTTTTAAGCCAGGCTTTCTAATCAACTTTCGTAGTTCTTGCAGATTATTCTCATAACCGAACGCACTGAAGGTTTCAAGAGGACCTAGAACTTTCACATCATCATCCAAGTGCAATGCGCTGTGAACATTGTATGAAAGAAACTGTTCTTTATATAAATCTTCACTCAATGAAACATACATTTTCATAGCTTCTTGACAAAAATCATACATGTCTCGTGGAGTTTCTTCTGAAACAAGAAGACGCATGACAACGTGAAGAATCATTAGATGATGATAATAATCTTCGTCAAAAACATTTTTTACTACAACAGGTAAAGTGTACAGCAAAAATTGCCGGAATTCCGTAGCTTTGAATTTATGAAATTCACTAAACTCTTGAGGGCGTCGATTGAAGTCTGATGGACAATAAAGTTGAAGATCTCTCATTCTAGAATTCAGGATTTCCAACTTTCTTCCATTTAGTCGTCGAAATCCAAATTTCCCATCAACCTGTGCCGAAAATATTTTTTTTACATTTCCCAGATAAACAGAATGCATACCCTCAAATGAAACGCGCGTTACTAGAGGCAGAAAAGGAGACAAAGGACTTCTTCCCTTATGATGGTCTTCATCTAGAAGGTTTTGATAACCATTATCTGTACGAAGTTCGTGTTCAAGACCTGGAAAAATCATTGTTGATTCAAATCCAGGAGTTATACTTCGACGACCTTCGACCTTACATTTTGAACAGGCACTTGACGAATTATGACCAAAGTGGTTCAAAACAAAAGCTCTCGCAGGAGCATCAGCAATAAAGCAATGCAATATCAGGGGAAGACGTCTATTTCCCACAATAATCCCACCTTCTTGTTGTATTTCTAAAATTTCTTGAAGGAAGACTTCGAAAAATTCGAAGGGGTTAGATGGTTTTCCTCGTCCTTGAAATATTCCAGCAATAATTGTCCGTTTATCAGAAATATTGAGTATTCGATACTGAATCGGCCAGAAATGGTCAAGACCTTTGTCCACTTTTGCACCATCTGTACTGAAGTCGATAATAATAGAATCTTGAATCAAATTTTCTGGGACACTGTTCAATTTTTTCATAAATGTCTTTTTGAATCCAATATGAAGATATTCACCTCCTGCTAAGTTTTGAACTTTTGTACTTGCAACAATGGTCGGTGTGTTAACGACAGTTCTCGAATCTTTGGGCAGGGAAATCAAATTAAAAGGAAACTGTCGCAATGTTTTTAGTAATGCATTGCCTTGTGTTAGATTTATATTAGCCGATAAAAATGTATTCTTTAATGCTTTTCTCTGTAAATGTTCTAAATTTTGTTGATTATCTTCAACTGCATCTTCGTTCTCTGAGACACTTGATTCATTTTCTATTACTGC